AGCATAAACTAATAAAATTCCCTGAAAATGCTAATGCAGGGAAGAATTAATCCAACCTGGCATTGCAACAGAAGCTACAACAAACAAACATGTCCTTATGAAATTATAGTTCCTCTTGTTCCCCATTGCTGTCTATCAAGGAGAGGACCAAAACCACTTCATTCACAAGGCAAAAAAATGGTATATAGACTGTGTACTCCATGACCCCTGGGCCTGATCTTTCATGCATACACACCAGCATAGATTGTACATGGAAAAGCTGCGCAACACAAAACAATGCAGCAAAGGAAGCTGGGTTTTATTGCTTCCGTTGCAGTTCGGGGTCTCAGCGTCAATCATAGGACTGGCCATTTCTATTCTAGTTGAATAAAAATAATTTATGAAGGAGAAGGTTTCCTTGATTTTCAAACATCTGCAGTCTTACATACAGACCTGTTTAATGCCATCTAGTGAGTTGTAAGATTAGGAAGAGGCTTGAACCCAGATTTCCCCTATCTAATCTATCTGTTGTACCCCACCCGCTGAGTATGTTGTACTACCTTCTAGATGCTGCTTGCACATACTAGAAGCTCTGGCATTTGTACAGTTCCCCCATGAACCCTACTTATCAGAGTCAACTAGGAACAGGGAAAGTCATGCTCACTGGGAGCAGCATGTTCACATCAGTGTGCCAACAGTTTTGGAGCAAACTGTGTGTATATGTGTGTATGTTGGCTTGTTGAATGCTGTATATTGATTAAATGCCAGGCATGGTGCTGCATTCACAAATCCTGTGGCAGAAGGAGAGAGAAAATATTTTGGCTGTTCCCATTCATGTGGACCACATTAATTGCATATGCCTGTCAAAACGGATATTTTATTGTTCAAGGATAAAAACTGAGTCACACACACATCTGTTGTCAGTGTGAATACTATACCGAATGTTACTGAAAACAACATTCAGTTCATTTTTAGACTTCTTTTGCTTTGTCATTAAACTAGTAAGCCGTAAATGCTGCTGTTGAATTGGTATGTGGTACAGTCAGGACCAATTTCTGCATTAATTGTTATGTTTAACTACTACTACAAATGCATCAATTTATGTCACACTCTGAAATAAAAAAGCAAGAGCCCTGCTCCAATAAACTTGCAGTTTAAATTATGACTGTGGGGCAGACAACAGAAAGGCTATCTTCCATTCCTGATGCATGTCTCCCAAAGTTAAATATAATGTGATTTTCATTGTTTGGAAAAGATGATTAACATGGCAAGACACCAATGGTATAAAATAATTTTGATACCATGATTGAAAAAATTGTAATCTCTTCTTTATAATTGTTTCTTTGGGATATATGAAAAAGTGCTTTGTTCATTTTTAACAAATCAGCAAGTATTAAGTTCTCCCTTTTTGGAACTAAACACAGAACCAAACACAAACTCTGCATTCAAACTGTATACATTTCCAAGCAACACAATTTGGAAAACCAAGAATATACATTTGAAAAAGCATTCTTTTGAAAAACTCACATGAAAAAAGCATACTTTTAAGAAACATACAACTCTATCATTTCAGCAATTGGAGAAAATATATACTCTTTAAAAAGGGTGCAATTGATGCATGCCTTTTGGGAGATGCTAATGAAAATATGCATAAGTTTTCATGAAAAAAGAAAAACAAAGCTTGCGATGTGATACAGACATGAGCTGGGACAGCCTGTGAGATGGAACTCCAAAAGCTTTGACAAGCTCAATTCATCCTGATTTGCTCCTCCCCATCATCCAGAAACTACAGGGCAGCAGACATGTTATCAGAAACCGGCCAGCACACTCACATTATGCCCTTGTTTGTCCATCTGCACTGGCTGCCAGTGCATTTCCAGCCTAATTCGCAGTGCTCGCATTAACATTTAGAGCTCTGAACAGCTTGGGTCAGGATTGGCTGAAGAGCGATCTCTTTCCATATATACCTGTTCAGCCCAGAAGAACATCTCCAGTGATCCTTCTCTGGGGGTCCCAGCCAAGGAGGTGGCTACTAGGAGGAGAGGTTTTTCCTGTCCAGGAATTGGCTGTGGAATGAGCTTTCCAAGGAGGCTTGCCTGGCATCTCCTGGCGTTCTTTTCTTCTTATTTAGTTTTCTACATTGCTGTTTTGAAGCTGTTAGGGTGCAAATGCTATGCCCGATGCAAGGTGCTACAGCAGCAATTTCCACTGCCACTGTGCCTTACATGCACCTCACAGGTATTTTTCTCTAGACTACCACGTCCAGACATCTAAACTGAGTGCTAGGGAATGGGAGGTAAGGCCCACTGGAATACGCATAAGGCCCTATTTCCCACTCTAAGCCTAGCTGCAACTTCAGGAAGGGCAGCTGTTATTTCCATGCTTAGCGGGCGATGGGGGGATTGGCCTTTGGAGTCATGGCTCTGAGGTCACAGTCTCTCAGAACTGGGCTCCCAAAGAATCCTATGGCGTTACAGATGACATCAGAGGGCCATAGGATTGAAAGCTTTTATTTGGGGTTTAATTTTGATACTCTAGTTTTAAACGTGTACATCTTCTATCTTCTTGTGTGGTTTTAATCTCTGTGAACCACTCAGAAAATGTCAGCTATTGCACTGTATAAAAAGCTAACAAATAAATAAGTAAACTGCTTTTTGTTCACTTCTTGCTGTTTAATGGTTAAACAAATGAATACCCAGTAGGCAGATTATACTAAGGAACCTGGAAGCTTCCAAGAACACAATCATGTGACAGCAACTTAGGCAAGCCCATATTTGCTAGCTGCTCAATGTATATGTGGACACACTCTCTTGTGTAGAGAGTGCGCTTGCTCTTGATGGGAATATGTAGCTGCTATGTTGACGGCTTCCCAAGTGCCAGCGCAAAGCTATGTTGGAAGTGGTTTCTATGCATCACAATCCCTTTGGGGATCTGCTCAATTCCATTGGTGACCCAACAGAATAACTAGACCTGGAATCTACAGTCATGTGCCCAACCACATTTTTGTATTGTGAAGGCAGTTGATGAAAACACACATGGTTGAAGAATGGCAACTCAGGTCTATAGAAATTTCTAGCTAATCACACCCTTGATCAGGAAAAAAAAAAGATGTGTGCTTGCACAGCTGACATTGGGCTGATTCATACAGTTGGCAGCCAGCCATGCAATGACCTTTGGGAGCATGGGAGCTACTGGCAGGATCACGGCCAGGATTATGCAGAAACGCTGATAGTGGGATTTGAGGCAGGCATCATCACCCACAGCTGCTGGAATTAAAGTGATCACAGCAGCCCTGTAGTTTTAGACGTATTGAACACATACGTCATGGCAGCTACGCATCCCACCCTGTATGGGGAGATGCCAGTTCTTGCATTCAACATTTCCCAGACATGTGAAACTCTTCCCATAGCCGTTATACAATGTGCAGTAAGCACATTTTATTACAGAAAGACTCAAGTTCCTTTTTGGTTGCTGAAATACCTGCACATTGCATGGCTACTTGCACTTGTATGAACTAAACTAGAGAAAATACAGAATGATAGCAACAGTTTTGACTCACCTGAAAATAATTTCTCCTGCACCTACATGCTAGTTGTTTCCAACTCTGGGACCGGTGCTCATCTCCATTTGTAAGCCAAAGAGCCAGCGTTGTCGAAAGAGTACGTAGTCATGTGGTAGGCATGAATGAACACCAAGGTACACGGAATGCTGTAACCTTTCCCACCAAAGTGGTACCGATTTATCTACTCACACAGGCATGCTTTCGAATCACTAGGTAGCCAAGAGCTGGGACGAAGCAGTGGGTGCTCACCCCATTGCGCGGATCCAATCTGCCAACCTTTTGATCAACAGCCCAGTGGCTCAATGGTTTAACTTACTGTGCCAGCCGTGTCCCTCCACCTTATATTAGGCAAATGCAAATCATCAAATAACCATTCTCACCTAACCTTCACCATCAGCTACTACATGCTAAATGGAGTGATGCAAAAGGTCTTGTTTCATTTATTAAAGCCTACCATGATTTATTTGTGTAATTGAAGTTGCAGTGTGCATAACCCTCTGCTTTCAGCCCAACGTCATGCAGCTGCTGCCACATGTAGGATTGTGCTTTTTGTGCAGCACGGTTGGTGAACCACATGCAGATTAGAGGAAATCCATGAAACTGGTGCTAGCAAGCTGCATGGCCCGTTGGCCACGTGCAACAATTCAACAGCCACTGTGCACCCAAAGATCTATAAATTGGTATTTAGAAATTTGGCCAATATATCTGGCCAATACACTGCAAAGTTTGGAAGGAAGACAGAGTTAATATGCTTTTTGTGCCTATTTCAGAGAGCAGAAGACACACATACACCTTATAAGCCCAGTCGAAAGCTTCCCATAGTTATTTAGACAGAGAAACTAAACACGCATTGCTGCAAGCAGATAAGTGGCTGCATGTCTTCTGTTATCTGAGAAGCCAAGATGATGTGAGGTATTGGACTTAGTTTAGCCATACTCCAGTCCAGAATATCAAACTCGCCTGCCTAGTCTGAGTGTATCAGCGTCATTCAGCAGAGGTACTTACTTTTTATCTGCCTGGCCTAGAAGGAATTAAAGTGCTATCCCGTGTTTCTGTTCATTGGGATGAATCTGCTATTCTATTGACATATGCTACAGATTTAATTTAATGCCGTGGTTCAGATGTCTCTTTTGATAAATTGCAGTGAAAATCTATGCTAAGAAGAGTTGAGCTGTTTCAATATTTATGGAGTTTAAGATGCAGGGATAGGAAAGGAAACATACTAATTGAAACAGCATTTGTGTATATCCTTGCTGTGAATGTTTCTGAAGCTGGTTGGTTGCTTGTCTTAAATATTAAGAGGCTTTCAGTAAGTTTTGTACAGATCCATTTTAATTCTAGCTTTTTATTACATTGATCCAGAAAATCCTCCATTCTGCCCACAACATACTCCATAATGATAAGGTATGATGCTTTAGAACTGAGCCACCCTCATTTCCTTTCTTTTCTTATATTTTAGGCATATTGGCAATTACATCTGTGGAAATTGGAGTTGTGGCAGTCAAATCCATTAACAGCAACTATTATTTAGCCATGAACAAAAATGGAAAAGTCTACGGATCCGTAAGTATATTTCATTTCCTTAATCCTAGCTTCTGCTGTCCACATGTGCCTGGCCTCACGTATTCGGTAAGACTTAATGCTGAGCAAAGAAATTTAGGGGATTCAACCACGAGAGAATCTGTTTTCTAACTTTCAGAAATTATTGGTTTATCCCTTTTCCTGCCTGATGCCTCATTCCAAGCCTGACCACTGTCCCTTCCAATTTTGCGATGTGAACACTGACAGTGGCTGGGTTCAGGCAATACCACAAGGGCTGAGAACAGGTTGAGCATGGGTTGTTGCACCATGGGCTGTTCTTGAAACATGGGTTCTCTGGATGCTGTCTGAATGAGGAGATGTTCTTTTCATGGGTCAAAGCCATATGGAACCCACGGTCTCAAGCGGGAGTCTTTCCCAGTCTGATCTGGAGAATAACAGGAATTGAACCTGGGAATTGAATTATACAGACAAAGCATCCATTGTGCGATGGCCCTACTTTAACTATGAAGTAGCTTTATAGTCACATAAATAGGGCAGACTATTTATGTAACTATTCTGGTAATATCTACTCTCTGGGTCTTGGGCAGAGATCTTTCCTATCACCCGATCTCTCTGACTGAACATGGGTTGTCATGTTGGCTGAACGCAGCTGACCTGGCAAGCCATGGCTTTTTAACCAAAAATGAAAGAACCTTGCTCTGTTGTTGACTTGTGAACTGTAGTTTGTTCACCACAGTTTGCTATCACAGCTGGGTTCAGACAGCATGATACCCATGTTTCAGTGACAACCCATAGTTCAACAGCAACCTAGCTCAAACCGTATTCAACCCATGAGTGTGAGTTGTTATGCTTTCTGAACCCAGTCACTAACTGAGATGCCGGCAAGGCAGCCTGAGTTTTCTGCACCCGCATGCAATCGGAACACTCGACCACTAGCTAGATTCCTAATCCCTTCAAACCCTAACCCCTTTCCCCTTCTGTAGGGAAAGCCCCACCAGGGGTACCTCCCATGAGTTCTTGGAGGCAGTGGTCTTTCTCCAAGGCCAGCTCCTCCTGGGAAAACAAGTCTTAATTTTTTCAGAAAATGTTCTATGTTTGCTGCCTGATTAAAGCAAAAACATAACCACATATAAACATCAGGGATGTCTATAAAAATAAATTTTGGTCTTTCAGAAGCTTTACTTACCTTACCCAAATGGGTGTCTTTCAGATGTGTTGGCCTGCTAGAATGATGGGAATTGCAGTCCAAGTCATCTGCAGGGCACCAGGGAAGGCTCAGCTACTCAGTCTACAAAAGTTATTATATTCTAAATAAAATTGAAGTGCAGCTGTAGTGTGTGTGTGTGTGTGTGCCAGTGCGTGTGTAAATTCTCAGGGGTATGTTTAATATTCCTGCAGTTTTCTTTTTACCATTTTGCTAAGCTTCCTCTGGTATTTCTAGCTTTTTTACATTTGTTGTAAATTTGGTTTTAAATTCTCTATGGCAATCATTTCATGATGTTTTTATTGCTGTCTGTATTTTATATTGTATTTTATGTGCTGTTGTAAACCACCCAGAGAGCTTCAGCTGTTGTGCAGCATAGAAAAAAATAAAATAATATTTTGCTTTGTTTTCTTGAGGATAACAGCATAACCACATAATATGCAGCAGTCAGTCTGAGAGTGCTTCTATGGTCTGTTTCAGGAACCACATTAAATATTGGAGACCCCCTCCTGAAACTGTAGACATTTCTGTGCCCATGGGAGGGGGAAGCTAGTGCTGTGTTCCTGCCCCTGCTTCTCCCAATGCCTTGCAGCCATCACTGCTTTTGCCACTACCTTCTGAGCCTATCAGATGACCTTGTAGAGGTTGCAAAGGGGGTGGTGTTGTAAGTGGGGGAAGGCAAGGGAAAGATCCTATGGCCTCTCCACCAGCCATTCTCATCTACTGCCCATAGGTGAGCTGAATGGGCTCAGAGACTCAGATAGTAGCTTCCTTTTTAGGAGAGAAAGTAAAACTCCTTCTGTTGTTCCTGCTTCCTCTGTGCAGCAGCCTGGCAGGGTGGAGGATTTTCACAAACTTCTGAGATTAATTTGGATTAATTTGGATTTGGGGTCAAACTTCACAGAGCTTGCCGAATTAAGGAAAAACATAGCTGGATTTGAATCATTCCAATTAGCAACAAAACCTAATAAAAGAAAACCACGATCTAACACAACATGGGGCACTCTTAAGTCCCTTGCTTTTCCTGTGAGTTGGATTTTGTCGTGTGACATTCATTCATCGCCTCCACTTTTCAGTGTTACAGATGATTCAATGCATGATACATTGGACATTTTCTCTTTAATTGTTCCAGCCATGTCCCATTTTGTCTTTGTATTAACTTCTGTGAACTTCCATTTATATACCATTTTAAAAGGTTATACTGATCTTTATGTTTTCTCAGGCTGTTAACAAGGCCCAACACCAAAGGAGTTTTGCTTGGTGGGAATGTGAGATGGGACCACTTTTGTGGCAAGAATTTCCATCCAGAGATGGCTGCCCTGGTCCCATCACGGCCTTCCTGCTTAAGCATGCAGTGAAAATGGGCCTGCTTTCCGTGTTTGATGGTTTTCATTCTGCTCCTTCTGATTTTACGGTTTTCATTTGCATTTCCATGCTTGTGGTTCCTTTTTTGTGTTATATAAACCCTACTGGGGCCCTTGTGAGGGATTTATATATACCAGGGCCTCTTGTAAGGCATACAAAACAGTATTAAAAAGCTATTATGACTCATTCTCATTAAACTTATGGAGCCATCCTGTGGTCCCTGGAGGAGCACCCAGAGACTATAGGATAGAGTCCCATTTTGAGGCCATAAAACTGTGACCTCAGGAGAGATAATCTAGATCAGAGTCCTCCTCTGTTGCCTTTGCACACCCACCGTGGAAAGCCCTGCAATGGCTGTTCAAGGAATGAGCAAAGAAGAGTTTCAGTAACAGGAGAAGCTGGGAGCCACAGTATTCTACCACTTCTTCTCTTATCCCTACCCATCACTGCTAGGTGAGCTGCACAGGCTTAGAAGTCCTTCTAACTGATTGGGGTTCTTTTAGGAAGGGCAGGAAGTGAAATTGTCTCTTTCGTTCCTTTCACCCTGCTAGCATAAGCTAAAAGGGGAGCTCTGATCTTGGATCCCTCTATTTATCAAAAGTAATATTCTAGAGATTTGCAGTCTTAATGTGTTATATTATCAAGTTATTCAGTTATGCTCTGGCCCTACAAACTAGGCATTGGCTCATAACATACTTTTATGCCCACCTTTTGACTTACTATGTCAGCTCTCAAAAACCTAAAGTTTGCTGCCCTTAAAACAATGCCAAAGCACCCACTGTTTATACAAAACAATCTTATCAGAGACTCTTCTTTCACCTTCTGGTTGGCTCAGTAGAGAATCCCTGCCTACAAAATAGGGCTTTGAAAATGTGTGTTTTTCCTGAGGTCATCATATCCAGAACCGCAACAACAGAGGGATCCACACTGTCATAATCTACTACGGATGTTTGAAATTGAGATCAAAATAACAATGTGTAAAACATTTTCTCCCATTGGTTCTGGTAGAAGGAACATTTTGTACTCTAGCACCAAACTCATGATTAACATGGGTTCTATTTGAAAGCTTTCCAGAATGTACTGGTCAGAACTTTCATTCCAAAAATGACCTTCCGTGGTTGGACTCAGATCAGTGTGGTCTAACAGTCTGGCTTTTATATGTAGATGGGTATGAAAGTAGCCTCAATATATATTTTCCCAAGAAACACTGTGTCACTATTTTTGAATATGACAGGAGCCATCTGCGGGATTCATTTGTTTGCTTGCTTCTGTACCTCCCATAGCCAAAGTTCTCTGAATTGAGACCCCGTAGAGCTGTCCTGAAGCATGACCCATGTGTCCCCATTCTTCCAAAAGCAAAGTGAAGCCAGAGCAGATTCTGATTTCAAAAGATCAAAAAAGGAAGTAAATGGAATAAAAATAACTTATTTTGGATTCATACATTTGCTATGTGCAATCAAAAATGAAGAGGGGCTGTGCCAGGTAGACCTCCTGCTCAATCCATGGCTGAATTGATCAGCAAATGCCCTGTGATGCAAACAAGATCTCAAAGCCAAACCATACACGATGCTGAACAAATCATTAGAAAGCACATCAGTAGGTTTATTTTTCAAAGAATAGATTCAATAGCAGCTGTAGTTGGATGGTTGTTTTTGGGACTTCAGCTAGCATTACTTCAGGAATTCCAGAACAAACTAACCTAATCTGTACCTCTCAGTTATCAGGACTTGGCTATACAGTTAATTTCACACTTCTTTTAATGTTGCATCACAACTACATGAGAAAGAAAGAAAGAAAGAAAGAAAGAAAGAAAGAAAGAAAGAAAGAATTTTTGAGCTAAAGAGGCAACCTTTTATCACTATTATAATTTGCAGATTAATTCTAACAAGGAATATCTGTGGATGAGGTGAATACATGGAAAAGGGACAAGGACCAGAAATGAAGTGCTCCATTCATGACTAACTGGAGCACAGAAGGAGAGCCAGTGTGGTGCAGTGGTTAAGAGCACAGGACTGGGACTCACACAATCTGGGTTCTAGTCCCCACTCGGCCATGGAGCCACCTGGGTGACTTTGGGCCAGTCACAGACTCTCAGCCCAACCTACCTCACAGGGTTGTTGTGGGGATAAGATGGAGAGTAGGAGGAGGAGAATGATATAAGCCACTTTGAGTTTGTTATAAGAAAAAGCAGGATATACATCTAATAAATTAAATACGATTTCACCTTTCCATCCCAAGCCACAATTCCAAGAAAAATCCGCACCACCACTCCCACCATGTCCCACTTCAGAACCTGCTCACCTTCTCCTCTGGTGCTATTCTCTCCATGATTCCCATGTTAGGTAGGTTCATAGCACTTTCCCCCCCTTTTCCTGTTTTCCTAAAGGAAACGTTAATGGTACAGTAAGCTGCCACATATTGTGGGAGGGGAGGGTATTCTCTCCCTTCTCCTCTTTTAGCTCTTCCATCTGCTTCAGAGGGTTTTCCAGCATTCCAGAGCAGATTTTGAGAGTGCTCAGGGGCTTTTGGAGAGCAGGGAAATCACCCCCTACCTGATTACACTGATAGAACTGTTTCTATCAGCAGAACAACATTACTGAGTATAATGCATAGATGTAGCATTAGGGGCATGCCTTGTAAGAAACAAAAATCTTGTTGACAAAACTGGTTAGCCAATATAATTCTAATAGTAGAATGTGGGACTCACTTTGAGATATCAAGGAAACTTAGAATAAGGTCAATATAAGCAAACTACTAAATGTTGTATAACTTGTAAGAATTGAATTCCCAGAGAGATGCCAAAATGCGGCCTGTGCCGATGAGGCACACATTTGCATAAGTACGCAGAGAGCCAACGCTTACGTTGTTTTCTGTGCATGAATACTAGTTCAGCATGAACAGCCCCTATGCCATACCACCATTGCCTGAAATGGAAATGGCAAGATAATGTTCATTCTAACATGACCTTTCCTTGCAAACAACCTTCATCCTGAGAAATCTGAAACCTAGCATTAGTCATATTTGGGGTGACTTTGTTACCCCGGACAAAGCTGCCCCTGGCAAGGCAAAGAATGCATACAAGGGGCATATGTTTGACTGAATGTTTTCCTGAGAAAGTTAGAATCAACATAAGAATGGAATTCAAGTTTCAGCTAGTACAGGTAATTTAAGACCTGATCTTTATTGGAACAATGCATAACAATAAAAACTGCATAACAATTCTTCTCCTTTGAGCTGCATAATACTAGTTTGTCCTGCAAAATTCAAATCAGCATAAAAAGCCTTTTCCTCTATGTTTTACCTGCAACTCTTGTCTTTCAGAAAAGACTAGGATGACCTGTGGTTAACCTCCATTTGTGCCTTTATTTGGGGTCCAAAAGTATCCCATAAAAGCTTTTCTTATGCAAATTTGGGACAATTTTATCCCAGGCATGTTTTGGCAAATATATAGAAAACTGTAACAGGCAGAAGAGTGATATTTTTTTACTGCCCTAAATTTGGCAATGCCCTAGAAAGTCAAGAGTGTTGGTCTATGTTGTGTAAATTGCACAACAAAATGTAAGAGACGGGTTGTCTAGGCACTCCATGATTCAGGATGATTAAAGGTGCAGTTTGGGAAGCAGATGCAATGCTCTGATAGCAAATCTCATGTAATACCCATTTTGAAAGAATGTGCAAGTTACCAAATTATTTTTAATGCTTTCTTTTCTCTGCATTCTGATCTTGTATCTCTGTGTTTCACTTTTCAACAGAGAGAGTTTAACAATGACTGTAAACTGAAGGAGAGAATAGAAGAAAATGGATACAATACGTATGCATCATCCTTTTGGAAAAGTAACGGAAGGCAAATGTTTGTGGCCTTGAACGGAAGAGGAAACCCCAGGAAAGGATACAAAACCAGGAGGAAAAACACCACAGCTCATTTTCTCCCAATTGTAGTCGAGCCTCAGATGAAGGACCTGTTCTATTGATAGCAGTTGAACCAAAGATCATTTGTCAGGAATACTTGGTAATCCTCTTGAAGAGGAAGGGCAGAAACAGTGCAGACATCTGCTTGATTGAAAAGAGGGGGTAAGCCTTTGAAGGTTTTGTACTGTCTGCTGGCACATGAAGTACTTCTAATTAGTTCTGTGTCATATCTTATAATCAAGACACAAGATGGATCAAATGAGATGGGAGCGCTTTCCAGTGTGAACAAATTATTATTATTTTTATATTTTATCTTGCTGGTAGAACTTAAAGGACAGGAGACAATGTATGGAATGATGTTCGGCGAAAGTTATTTATGGAATACTAACTCATATCAAAGACCTTCATTGCTCATTCAAGCCTAATGATCCAATGAACAGTTGGGCACGCAAACATTTACTGGAAGCACATGGATCATGTGCAGAAATAAAGAAGATTCTGGAATGGTCTCATGGAAGAAATGAATAGGATTAAGAAATATAAGCACATTAGAGTAAAACTGTTCTAACAAAATAAATAGTATGATTCCTACCCCCTTGTATGCTAACGCCATGCCTTTGTTTTTCTCCCTAAGTTATTTATTTAATAGGATGTTAAATATCTTTCTTCTCCATTTTGTGTGTGTGTGGGGGGGCATTTTTGTTTGAAGGATTTTCTCAGATGCTTCCTGTTTTGTAATTATTCTTTTATTTTTCTCAGTATTTTATACAAGATTGACCAAATCAGATGTTGAAGTCTCACACAGACATCAAAAAGCAGAGAATGCATAAGGTTTAAAGAACATAAGGCTGTGATTTGTGTAAAATCTTGTCCCCTCCCCCCCTTTCCCCCTCTTGAAACTGGGATTCTTTTAAAAAAATTTTTTGCACTTAAAATCAATAGGATCAGATATGCATGGGGATTTCAACATGAACTGTGACTTGCTTTATCAGCATTCTTGATGGCCTTTCCCCACACACACAGGAATAAACTTCCCATGATGCATCATCTGAAAAGTCTTGCTGCTGTTTTGATATGGACAGAGTTGAACTGATACTCAAATGTGTGGTCATCTCCAGCTTATTTCAGTTAAATGCAACAAACCCATGCTTCCAAGCGTATCTTATACTGGTGGGATCATATTGTTTCAGAACAAAGCTGAATTAAATCTGCAGTGTTAACATGAATGCTCCACCACCACCTGCTAAGTAAGACCCAAAAGAACTAAATGCTTCCATTTTTCTGATTCTGGTCAAATAACTTCAAATTAGCTATGGCGTATTTCAATTTGTGTTGAAAACTGTAACCTTGACCTGAAAACCCTTTAGCTTTAATTTGCAACAATTTCAAGTGTTACATAGGAGCTGAGGGAATGATTTCCCCAAACGTTGGCCTATACATCTTTCAAATAAATAAATAAGAATAAAATTATATTCCACTGTCACATCCAGACCTGGAACTTTTACATTTCCACCTGGACAAATGTATGTGTTTCCTATTGGGTCCAGCTTACAAGTCTCACTGTGGAGAACATAAGTACATCCCCACAAAGAACACACGTCTGGATACACCCTATATAGTGTCCCTATATAGTGTTTGGGAATTCCCTAAAGCTCTTCATAGTAACAGCTCAGGCTGAAGTACAAGTACCATTGTTGCTACATGGCAGACTTGGCACTAGATTGCACTACAACCCTACAGTTACAACTGAGAACATTTGCAGAAGATACTGGACTGGGCTAAGCATCAGATACATGTATTTCCCATCGCACGAGCACATTGAACAACAAACGCATGCTTGCACCCGTCAGAGCTAAAGATGTCTGGGGAGTGGTCAGCCGACAAAGTTTTGATGCAAAATGAGCAACACCTTCTAAAAACACCAGGGTTCTACTAGCTAAAGCAAGGGTTGTTTTTCTGCTAAAGCAGCACTAGCTGGAAGTCTTAGTTTTGCTTCTCAGACAGGATAAAGCAAGAGTACTCTATCTGCTTTATACCTTTGGAATGTTTTATCTTTTCCCCTATTTCACTGGAAAGGATTTTTGTAATTTAAAAAAAAAACACGATAGCAATATAATGTACACTACACAGATGGGAGTTCTATAATCTGATAAGAGACAGTGCCTGCTCCATTTTGCTTAACTGATTATGCCTTAACATGAAGGAATGGCAAAGCTTATTCTCAGCTGTTTCAGAAATAAACAGAATAGTGAAATCACATGTAGTTTATATAAACAGCAGATCATGTAATAAAACTATTCCTGGACAGTAGTAGGGATGGGAAACAAGTTCATTCAATGTTTTCAATTCATTCATACAGAAACCAAAAACTTGATTATCCTTTGAGATTTTCACATCTTTGCAATCGACTTCTCCAGTCAAAGAATAAATCCAAACATGTATATTAAAGTAATGTACATACTTATCAGTGAAAATAGCAATCACAACACATGATATCAAGAAAAAGTGTTCCTATTAGGCAAAATCACATTTAAAATACATGTATCAGGAATAAAGCAGAGAAGTTTTCATACAAATTTCCACGCAATTTTTAGACTTATATATTTTTAAGTATTTGATCACACTGAACTTAAAACTCAAAAATGGGACACTGAAAATGCTTCTTCTGTGGAATTCAGACTATATGTGAGCACTTGCCAGCATTTAAAAAAAAATTCTGTTTAGAAAATTCTAAATGCCAGGGAGACAGGTTCTGCCTACAATCACCCCTCTTGGCTTTTAATGCACAGGGGTTGTTTGCTTTTTTCCATAGGAGAGTGTTCAGACAAGCAATTTCCTATCTATGGTCTGAGGCAGAAGAGTCCGGAAACAGTTTTACAACATGATCTGCTGTCCGTGTAAAGTTAGGCATGAGGCCCAGTAGAAACGAAACGATGCCTTCTGTCTTCCTGAGATGAATGTTTTATGACCCCCTCACAGGCAAGGTAGACACGCTCTGCCGTGCCGTCATGGCTCACTCCAGCTCTATCTAGAATAATCACACTGGAGGAACAGATGTACTCTGAAGTCAGTGGCTTGAGGTTCACAGCCACTATTACTCTTTTGTGTATATAACCTTCGAGAGCCAATCTAAAAGCAACATCTTTCTTCATTTATCACAGTATATACAATGGCTCCAAAATGCAATATTGGCACATTTTAAAGAGAGCGCTCCTATTTTCACAGCTTACACTGAATAAATGCAGTCTTAAGTTAAACATACTATCAACTTTGTTCAATCTGAAGGAAGAAAACCTATATTGTTTTTGTTTTGCTTTTTTTCCTCTTTAACATTAGAAAGCTGTGGATAGTTCATCAGTATAACCATAATGAGATTCATTTTGTTAGCGCAAGTTAAGTAGAAAACTGTACATCAAACCAACATGTACCACTCTCTTCACATTGTATTCCACTAAATAAATAAATAAATGAGTATGTCTTCTTTGCAGTGTCTGTAGCCGGAAACAGAAGTAGTTGTGTTGATTTTAATTTTGTTCAAAATACTTTAAGGGATTGTATTGATGCTGCAGATTTGCCTCTGATCTTTTTTGTCACAACAGAAATATATTTGGAAATATAATGGTTTGGAAATAGTACTTTGGTACAGCAATGTTGCAAATTAGATCCCTTTTAAAAAATGCACCTCCATGTAACTTCTACAAAACAGATTTTGTGATCTGTTTTAATTTATTTGAATCCCTACAAAACCCCATAGAATTCACAAGCGCTTCATAGTCAGGCTTGTGAAGAAAGGAAAAAGGAATGAATATCCTTTTTCACAGCATGGGAGAGATTGGTTGTGCCCTGAAAGTGTGCTGTACTACAACTCCCACCATCCCCAGCTGGTTCCCCAGTTACTCTGCTGGCTGGTGATGAAAGGAAACGTGGCTTGCTGAGTTTGCAGGGCTCCAGGCTGAGCTAGCAGAACCCAGCTGCTCATCTTGCCATACACACCCAACCTCTCTTTCATCTGGGTGCAAGGATTGCTCCAGGTTGCTTGAGAGGAAGGCCAGGAGGGCTCTGCTGAACTTGATGTCAGGTCTGCTTTGCTTGTTGTTTGCCCAATCTTTCCTCCTCAAAGAACAGAATATTCAGACTGTATTTGCTAACCCATGAATAAATCAATAAGGCCTGATTTCACCTAAGAGGACATGATCTGCTAAGGTGTTCTCCTGCGCTAGCCCTACTGCGCTGTGTGGGAGAATCATTCTTGTGCAGCTCCCTTCATTTCATCAGAGCATGGCCAGGAGAGCATTCCAGTCAGTTCGGTCCAGTGACATGGAAGATGCAATGCGATGGGATATGGATAACATATATTGTTAATTTTTCTTGTGGATGAACAAAATGTTTTTTAAAATCATGTAAAACTACCAACCATGGGTTTTTCAGTGTTGAAAACAAATACGGTGTCTTGAGACTGAATAGCAAAATGCTTGTTGTCATATTAGGAAGGAACTTTCCTTGTGTTGCATTTGTTTTGTTTTGTTTTGTTTTTTCAAAGTGATAATTGCATCTGACAAGGCATGATGGACCACCCGCAACAAAAATTAAATGTTTCGTTGGCAAATAAAGGATTGGATGACCACTCTTCTTAACAGCATCTATGGCACAAATAAGGTTCTCATGTCACAAAACCGTTAGCATTGCTTTGGGGTCCGGCAGGGGAGGGGGATTTATAAACATTCATAATTATGGGATTTCAGAATGCTTAGAAAAGCTTCTTGCAAAAACCTACTGCTGCTCACAGAGGCTGAAAGTGAAAAATATAACCCCCACCCACCCACCTGACTGAGGGTAAACAGAGGTGGGCTAAAGGGGGGGGGGGACTGAAAGAATTTCCTACACTTCCAAAACTTTTTATCCCCCCCACCCCCAAAACCCATCTGATGGTTCACTGGAGAAGGAAACCTCCATATTCAATTTGAATGTTGCTCTAGGTGAACTCTGAAAACAATTCTGGCATGTGCAGACAGTAAAATCCCTGATAAATGTTTATTTTTTAAAAATGAAACTATTTTGGCTTCCATTTGAAATGCCTCAGATGCTTCACTTGAGCGAGAAACAATTACATCTGTTTCACATGTTGTTTTAAGTGGAATTTTGCTGAAAGCATTCATGGCAGGAGGGCTTGCTGCCATTTTGGTAAAACCTGAGGTTTTATATAAAACCAGCCTCCCCACAACCTCTAAGCTGGCACACTGCAGATGTTTTGCAGATGCAAAGCCCATCGTCCCCAGCCAACAGGCTCTGCAACTGGAGCAATGGGATTTGGAGTCCAAAACACCCGGAGGGCATCCTGTTGGGAAACACTGATACAAACAGACAAAAGCTGCGAAAGGCCCTGCGCAACCGACATGCCTTGGTCCCTGTTGTGGCAAAATTATGCTGCGATTGGGCTTCCCAGGGCAGGCTCCTCTGCCAGCACTCAGGCATGACCCAAAGGACCTTCTTGGGCATAATACTGACCAAAATGAATCTGAGCTCCTGCGCAGCTCCCATTCATTTCAAAAGGGGTCATGCCAGAAAGTCCCTGGGTAGCTGTGCTTTATTTTTCTGTCTCAGTCATAAATATGAGACAGTCTAAAGAAAAGAAAAGCAGATTATTGTCCTGCTCATGTTTTTTTGTAATGGAAAAAATAAGACTGAACAACATGTATATTTAAATAATAAAAACTAATACAAATCTGGGAATAGAGAATGAATGGGATGTGTGGTTTTTTAAATCTTTGTTTAACTACCCTGAAACTATACTGTATGATAAATGAAAGAAAATAGAAAGGGCCCTGTGTAGTGAAGGAGTATGCCAAGAATGGACAACTTGTGGCCCTATAGAATTTTGGGGTCCACAACTCCCATGATTCTGCGCCACTGTCTATTCTATTATATATCTGATGGAAGATGTAGCATGAACCATCTGGAGGGTCTGAAGTCATTCACCATCAATACAAGCATTTAGGTTTAACATTCTCATAGATCATAGGTCCAGATAATGATCTGGGCATGACTCCTGGACATAACAGGAGAAATCATTAGGGGACAGCCATGGGACAAAGCACTGCCTAGCCTGGCAGTCATTGATGATAAAGGTCTTCCCAACATCTCCACCTACCACTCAGTGCACAATGAATGAACACAGATCAGAAACTTCCTAATAACAAGTCAACATATTTGTATGGGAAGAGACAATCATTTAGATAACCAGATCCCAAACTGTTAAAACCACAGGGGTGATAACTATCACCTTTGAACTGAACCTCAAAGGCAGTAGCCAGTGGAACTGATAAAATAATAGCATTATGTGACCAAACCGACATCTTCTGCCGACAGTCTAGTTGCTGCATTCTACAGTTGGAAATTGATTGTAACATGTATGGACTTTGTTCCCTTTCTTCTTAATATGCGTCTGAGCCAAGCTATAGGGGCTCTCATAATTCCAGGGCCCAAGTCACAGCAGTCTTATTGAAGGTCAGCAGTGCTTGGTATTTGCCTGAACACCACTTGAGAAACTTATACATAGTGACCTCACTGAAAAAAGAACGGATAAATCTAAGGAGTGTCTATGTATCTTCTATTTACAACTACTTTATAGAAAAGTAGAAGATGTTAAAGGCATCAGAGGATGTTAAAGCTAGTGTGGTGTTGTAGTTAAGACTGTTGAGCTTGGTCTCTGAAGATCCAGGTTCTAGTCCCACTTTGCCATGGAGCTCACTGGGTGACTTTGGGCCAGTCACGAATGATCAGTCCTCAGGGCTCTTGTGAGGATAAGATTGAGAGGAGGAAAAGAATTGTGTAAGCCACCTCTGTTCCTTGAAATAAAAAAGATGAGCTAGAAAAATAATAAAGACATCAGGAGAAACAACTATCAACACATTCTATAGCACCCAACTATAGTTGAAGCTCTCTGAGTGGGGAACAACTCATGCAAGACAGTAACATACAAAAATACAATACCGCAAGTTAATGCAACAGGTTCAGGCATCTCCCAGTCTACAACAAGTTCAGGTATTTCCACCACTTGATATTTGACTGAAAGAGGACCTAGGACCATTTGCATGTCATGCACAGGTTTTAGCATGAGCTAAATTCCCAAAGGGACACTCATGGCACTGCAGGTTAAATGGCTGAGCTGCTGGGTTGTTGATCAGAAGGTTGGCAGTTCGAATCCACGTGGCAGGGTGAGCACCCACAGCTTTGTCTCTGCTTCTGCCCACCTAGCAATTCGAAAGCATCCAAATGCAAGTAGATAAATAGATGCCACTTCAGTGGGAAAGGCAACTGCATTCTGTGCCCCTTGGCATTTAGTCATGCTGCCCACGTGACCAGGGAAGCATCTTCAGACAATGCTGGCTCTTCAGCTCACAAATGGAGATGAGCACGAGCCCCACCTGTTAGTTGGACACAGCTAACACACATGCAGTGGAACCGTTGCCTTTACCTTTTATAATCCCTAAAGACATTCTGTGTTATCCCAGAGCAGGTATCCTCGTTGCTCAGACTAGTAAACAACCCTGCTGTAGAAAGTGTTGCCTGATCCACCTATCTTTCTGGTGATGGAAGGAGGCTTTATCGGCTGGTTTGGCTGGGCTTTCTATGGATTCCTTTTCTGGGCAGAAACTGGTTAGTGGTGGACAGACTGAATACCTCATCTGGCATCTTTTAGGTCACTATTCCAAATATGAAGGAGGCTCAAATCCATATCACATATTGCCACTCCCCTGGGAAGGGTCAGGAGGCCCCTGCGCTACATGGAGTGCTGCATCTGAAGATGGCTTCACAGGGCTGAAGATGGACTGAGCACAGTGTTGGCCCGGCTCACCTTTGCCTCATACACCCGTATCATGCACAGCTATTTTCAGGTTGTGTCTCCTAGTTTTATTATTCCCACTGCAAACCCACTTCCAGAAGGATCTTATTGATGGGATCAGAGACCATTACCTAAGTCATGTCTTTACTGTTAGATTGGAGATGGACTCTTGTTACATCTTTTAATGCCAAATCTCACAGGAGCAAAGGGGAACATGTAAAGATATCATGCAATGGTGTTGGATGCTACAAACTATTAAAACAACCAGATGTTGGAGAGAGAAGAAGAAAGAAAAGGATCATGCAATAGAAGACTGTTAAATCGCTTCCTCTGTTTACTCTCCCCACTGAGGGGAAGACTTTGGCATACCTATGGAGTATGAGTCATAGCTGACAACTCCCTTTAAAAACCTGAGGCAAGCACCATCACTAACACAAAAACCAATTATTCCCAAACTGCACCAATCTTCTGCAATTTTGGTCGTTCATTTCTTTAGCTCTTCCTGCTGACTTGACATTTTTCAGGCTCCTAGGACTTATTTGGCACAACTTACCTTGAGATCAGCATGTTTGATTGGGAACAACGGAGGTGTATAGTCTTTGCCATTATAGTCTCTTAGACAGCACGGAATATTC